TATATATTATGTACATATATATATATTGCTTGATATATATTTTATATGCATAATATGTACATATATAAATAATATAAAAATAATATAAAAATTTGTTAAAAAGATCTTTACATTAATTTTTTAACAATTAAAAATTAAAGATGTTTGAAGTGCCAAATATTTCTATTACTAATGTTATTAATTTAAAAATTCATGTACTGAATAATTCTATAATTCTTACGTTAGAAATAATTATGAAATGGTTTCTGTTTAATTAATTGGTGTTAAATAAATGCAGGAGTTTATTTCGGTAATTAATGAGAATCTAATGGCTACTGTGTTCACAAAAGTATTCGAGGAGCTCACAAGTCATCTTAATTTCACCGTGAATATTGTCTCACAAAAGCTCGAATACGGTATACGGAATCGACAAACTCTCATCTGGTCTGGAGTAATGGGAGAGATCGTATATGGCCGCGCGGATTTCGCAATCGCCGACGTGGCGTTGACGAGTTTTCGAATTTGTTTTGTCGATTTCACGCTGCCCTTGGTCGTATCTAAAATCAATCTGTATTTCAAAGAACCGGGAATATGTGGCGTCAAGTGGATCGGCTACTTTCAGGTGATATCATTTATTAACATTCAAATTAGTTTAACTTTTTATCTCGTTATTATCACCTCGAAAATAATAAATGAGGTTTGTCTAAGGCGTACTGCTCATTTAAATCATACCTCATCAATTTTTTTTTATTATTCCGTATAAACAATGTATAATATTAAATAAAAATATATGATAAATGAGCAATGAGAAATAATTATAGATAAAAAATTCTGATAAGTAAAAAATACTGATAAGTACAAAACTAGTTGCTTAAATTACTTTTTACATGTTGTAAAAAAAGATTAATAAATTAATTTGATTTTAGCAAAAAAGGTTTTGCATGTATATAATAGCAATATCTTATCTTATTAGCTCAAATATCAATTAAGCTACTAGAATTTTCAATTTTAACTTGCGTACAAATTAGTATAAAATGAGAAGTATAACATAAAATATCTTAATATAATTTTGGCAATGTGTCGAAACAGCTTACTTTTAAATCGAGCTTGAATTGATTATAAACTTGAATTAATCTTTTATACTTGTACAATCGCAACAGACTTTCAGTTCGCGCACTTGGGTTACAATTATCATGTTGATAACGACCGCACCGTTACTCTTATTCTTCATGAAAACATGCCGCGATCAATCACGAAGTACCGTGGATCTGATCTCTGAGAATTTCATCTGCATTTGGGGTATCTTTTGCCAGCAGGCGCTTATAGGTATTAATATAAAATTTATAATACTTTTAAAGCAATTAACTTAAACATTTGGTCATAAAATATTCATAAAATATGTCACGACTGCTTCGTTTTTTATAAAGAGGATAAGATAATTTAAATTTTAATTAAGTTAAGAGTTAGAGTGACTCCGGTATATACGCCGCACCAAAAACTTATTTTATTAAACAATATAATATATTATAGAACCGTATATGTGTGATAACACAAACTATAGAAATCAAAGCTTTAAACGGTCTAATTGCATTGGATCTTAATGCTTGTATGATTCTTATATGAATTTATATACTTCGTATGTAGTCCCTAGAAACGCGTGCCGAAATAAAAACGCTAACTTTACTAAACTACCGCAGTAATATCATGAGTTAAATTGACTAAAAATTTAACCAATTTTTGATGCTTATTCGTATCTTTGAAACGATAATAATAATGTTGAATGACATATTAAAATCTGTAAATAATTAATTCTTTTTGCAAAATATATTACCTCGGCCGGAAGTTGAATCTGGATCTCTTGCATTCCATACTTAATTTATTAAGTATTATTTACTATATTTGAAGTAAACGAACTATATCAGTAAAAACTTTGTACTGTTATGAAAAAAAATATTAGAAATCCGAAATATTTATATTTTGTATTAAAAAATGAACTTGTTTAAACCCTTGTATTTTTGCCATATATCCCAGGGGATGGGATATATGACTATTCATAGGGGGAAGCAGGATATGTACGGCTCATGAAAAATTTACAAATAATGAATATAAATAAGACGTAAAATGACACAATAATTTATAAAATGCGTTTATAAAGTTTTATTAAGGAATGAGAATAATAAATATGTACTCGTATATGAAGTAATAAATAATAATTACAATCTTCGTACATATTACAAGTGTTATGACATGAGATACATATTTTGTATGCGTTTATTGCATTTAGTGTATTGAATTCAATCTGCGCACTTTGTATGATTTGGGCATAAATCACGCTCGCTAAAAATGCTGTATATCTCAAACAGATGGAATATACAACACAACAACTAAACAAAGAATACAAGAGCAAAAAGATACTTGTATTTTGTTATGCTTTACTATTCCTCTACACTCATGTATCACGAAATAACCACTAAGTCTTTTGCACGTCCTAGTGCAGTAATTATTTTATGTAGATTATAATTTATGATGGCGCTACTTAACACAGTGACAAATCGATTCAACTCACAATAATTTTATTAATATTAACAGTAAAAAACTGAGTAAAGAAATCATAACACAATATTATTATAACATAAAGGCATGTAACAAAATAGATGCGGGAAAATTACTCCCACTTCTTCTATTTTTTCTTCTGCGGCGTAAATCCCAGCGCGGCGTATTTGCCGAAGTTACCCTAAGTTTAAGATAACTTCGAATTCTGTTTTCTTCTTTTTGACTGGAGTTGTAATTAAACTTATTTATTTCTTTAGAATTTCCGAAAAGTTCATCACTGCGTGTCGCGTACTTCACGATACTTTTGGCGGCGGTGCTAATAATGGCTCACTATTCAGCGGCATTAATTTGCTTCTTGTCGGCGTGTATTCACGTCTTACCTTTTCAAACGCTAGACGAATTCGTTAACGATGGTACCTATAAATTAATCGTGATACGCGATAGTGCCGATTATGACATAGTCACCGTAAGTTCACTCAGCGATCAAAGTCTGACTTTCACTTTTATAGTAGCTCATACACCTTTTGAGCGATCAAAGTTATATCAGATCGTTGCATTCGGTAACATGGAATTATGGTATTTAACATCTAACGTGATTTATATAATTATAATTTATGCTTTACAAGACATTTTTGCGACAGTTTCAGGCGCAGCACGAGGAAAATCCTTTCTATATAAAACTGATGAAATTAATGAAGGACGAATCGGAATTGCCGAAAACCCTAATAGAAGGTTTCATGCAAGTACGATTAACAATCTATATTTTTATGCAAGACGAGTAAAATACGAATCAATTTTAACCAGAGAAAGTTACTTTTTAAAAGTAACTCGTTACAGTTACTGTTACTTGAAAAAGTAATTTTTCCGTTACTTTTTTAAAATCGACGACGACCAATCACAGCAGATGAGTGCCTTATAGGAGCTTTTTAGTCTCAAGCGCTATGAGTGGCTTGTGTCTAAACGAGTCATGTCCAATCGTGTGCCAAGTAACGATAAAAGTACCTGTAAAATTTGTCACTGTTACCAAAAAAATATAATTAAATTACTAAATTAAAATTCGTTATCGTTATCAAAAAAATGTAACTAAGTTACCGTTATAATTATAAAAAAAAATAATTCAGTTACTAGTAAAGTTAACCAAAAAGTAACTTGTAACTGTAACTTCATTACGAGTTTCTTCCATTCCTTGATTTTAACAATATAATTGTTATCTTTTATTTTCATAAATTACTTTCATCTCCTAATTAATATTATAATTATTTCAGCACATTAAAACAATTTTTTATTTAATCTACTACTTGTTCAGGTATGCAACGAGAAAAATGTTGTTTTTATGGCGACGAGTGCTCAAAAGAAAAGCCTAGAAAAGAAGTTACCTTGTAAGTTATCAAGCATCACTACTGAGAGGATAAACAATTTAGCAATCATCCTTTCCAAGGATAATCCATACACAGGCGTGATAAATTATTAGTGGGTATATCTATCACAAAATTCTTTTTGCACATTTAATCTTTTCTTCCGTCGTAAAAATATTGCCTTTACCAGTTTGCAGAAATTTTTGAACAACGGTATGATAATGCGTTTGAGGCAGACATATTCATCGCAGTTGATTGAAAATAAGATTTTCAAGCCGGTTTATTTATTTAACGTCATTCCAATTTTGGCAATTCTTTGCGGTGGCTTTATTATAAGCATCATAACGTTGATTATAGAGAACATTCATTATCGATCAAGGAGAAGACAATCGAAAGTCCTTTATCCTTCTAGAAAGCTATTTATTTAAAAAATATAATTAAGATAAAACTTAAAATTTAATTTACTAAGAAAAAAAAGGTACATCTTTTTAGGAAGAGAATTTTTTCATCTTCCTTATTTCTCTATGAATAAAAATTTTCCATTTGTATATGTATATGTGTGCTTATGTGTGTGTGTGTGTGTGTATATGTGTGTAAATTTGTCACAGTTAATTATTATTTAAACTTTTTCCTTTACTTTGATTGTATACGTGTTGTTGTTTAAAATAACTTTAAATAAATAATAATGTTTATTGTAATATATTTAAGTATTGATATTATTAATAATTTTGTATTTTAGATGTGATAATATGATTATAATATAGATAGTATATAATTATTTAAATTATTGTTATAAGTGAAATTTACGATGTATTAACACTAAAATAAAATAAGAGTTAAGAGAAATACATTTCTAGCGAGAGGAAAAGGTAAACTTTTCTAAAGCTATTTTTTATTTTAAATATTCCTTTACATGCTTGTTAAAAATTATTCAATTTTTTTTTAAATTGTTAAAAAATCGCTTAAATTATTAATAATTAAATGATACATCAGATTATTCATATCAAGAAGATCTTTCTCTGCTCAGCGCTACATTTCTTTTGCGAGATATGCACGTTTAAATTTGCACTGATCTTTATATATCGAAGTGAAAACTAAGATGACACTTAAATGACATATCTAAAATAGCAACATCGAGCGATGCACAGATAAATAATGCTGGTTGCGGGAGCTTAACGATAATGAATAATTTATCAGTCTGGTCGATGATTCGCCGATAAAAGTCATATCGTCGCATATCTCGATATAATTTGTAATAATGCTGCCGCACATCACCCAGTGACACTCTTTTGCACCCACTCCTAGATCCTTGGAACCGATAAATCCTCGTTTACGATGACCGTTCTTCAGTCACGCGTTCGCACTCTCTTGAATCGCGCTACCCTTATTTCTTTCTTTAATCCTCGCTCCAAGCAGTAATAGTCACGCTTTTTGATAAAGTATTCCGCGATACATTGTTACTCTTAGTAAGATTTCGGAATTAAAATACCAATTTCGCATACCTCTCTCTATTTTTATATTTGTTTTAACTCATATGATGGCTCATATAAGTTCTTGCTTCGAATTCATTGTTAATTATTTATTTATCGTAACAGTATACAATTGAATAAAAGAGATATATATTTTTTTACATGGTGATCGTTTATCTAAGTTCTTAATTTAAACCTGTACTTTGCGAAATGAAATATATGATAGTGCGATCGATCGCGATACTCTTCTTCGTGTTGGGTATCAAATCGTTGACAGAAGAAATAAGTACTAATAATTATTTCCGATTAATTAACGACGTCCATAGATATTATCGCACGTCATGTGTTATTTTCGTACAATCTGATAATTACGGTAAGTACTAGGAACAATTTCCAGCTATCATTTCTCATATTGCACTTCTAGCCAGCTGACAAAAAGAAAGTTTCTGCAAATTTTTGAACAAACATTGAATCAGAATTTTATGTGTAAATTAATTCTATACAATATTATTTAATGTATAAGATCTGTAGATGACAAAGTTAAATTATAAATTAATGAATTATTATATGATGTAATGATTATCAATAATATGTTATTAAATAATTCAACATTATTTGATTAAAAAATAAATAATTACGCAGTAAATAATTACGAAGTATTAGATAAAAAAATAGTTATATAGATACCTACTAATTAATTATTTTTTAATTTTAAGAGAAATTTTAATATTGTTATTAAATAAATATACGACAAATAAATTCAATAAAATGTAACTAAATAAAAAAATTAATTAAATTAAAAAATTAAATGTTATCATCTCAGTTATGACCTAGAAAATTATACCTAATATTGATATTAAGTAAAATGTAATATGCATTTTTTATGCAAATATTGTAGATTTAAAAACGACGACATTGGTGCATACATTGTCGCGCGAACTCTCACAGCAGCGAGTCATGATTATGACCATAACTTTTTCAAATTTGATGAGCAAATACAATAATTACCAGAAGAATATCAGGCTGCCCTTATTCGTCGTTCTCCTCGACACCGAGGAGACCATATGCGAATTCGCCAAGACCACGAAGGGCATAAAACCCATTTCTTTCCCTATCTGGTTGGTTGTGTTTCTTCAGCATCTTGGAAACCCGCTTAAAGACTACTGCACGCATCCTGCCAATAACATATTTAACGTGGACGTCAGCACCCAGATGCTGATCCTGTGCTACAATCGCCCGATTCTAGTCGAGTGGTATGCTATTCGTGATAATTATACTAAAACGTTTGATCTGGCTACATGGTCTCCTGATAGAGGTCTGACCCTAAGAACACAAGAAAATCTGTACGCCAGGAGGAGCGACATGTTTGGTGATGTTGTACGCGTGACGGTTGTAAATGTAAGTTTTTATCTTTCCCGAACTCCATTGTGCGCTACTCTAATGTTGCGATTTAAAGAAGGTTATAAGCGACAACCTTGTAAAAAATAATCAGCATAAAAAAAATTGCCTCGCAATTTGTCATGGAATCAATATTAGAATTTAACGATAACTTCGTAGATCTCTATAGATGTAAATTGACTTGCCAATTCTGTTGATAAATGCTCGAAGAACTCGCCATTAGTCACGCTGAAGAACGGTACGATGGATGGATTTTTTGGTTTGCTACTGATAGAGCTCAGCAAAGCGATGAACTTTACGATAAAGATTCTGGATCCAGTGGACTCATTCGGTAGTTGGGATCCGCAGAATGGTTGGTCAGGTGCGATTGGCAAGTTGGTGAACAATGAAGCTGACATCGGCATAGCCGCATTCACAGTAACAAACGATAGACTAAACGACGTCGACTTTTCGATACCATTGATACGTACACAATACCGCCTCTATTTGCACGAGCCCATCACGCCTTACGTGCAATGGTTCTGGTACTTTAAGGTAATAATGTTTATTTTAATAATAATAATATTATTTAAATATATTAGTTGCATATTAATTATACAAGCTATAGTTATAAAATTGCGAACTAGACAAAGACTTTATCTTTATCTTGTGTTAATTTGTAATAAAAAAGTAAAATTATTAAAAATTATTCAGTTACATCTTTAAGAAAAGAAATATTAAAGTAATTTGTGTGTGTGTGTGTGTGTGTGTGTGTGTGTGTGTATATGCGTGGATGAAAATTTATAATAACAAAATCTAATAGAATAAATTATTTTCTTTTATCGATAAATCTTACAGGTATTTAGTCCTGGAGTTTGCGTTAAATTAATAATGATAATAATAATTGCTTCTATTTTGTTGACTGTTATTAAAGCAAAAGGATTCTCGATGAGCATAATATCTGACAACTATATTAAAGTTTGGGGTATTTATTGCCAGCAAGGTCTGCCAGGTAATGCTCTTTTTATATTCAAGCAAAACAATAAGTCATCATGATATCAAAATGATGTTAAAATGATTCTAAAATGATCATTAAAAGTCATTTTTCAAATTACGATTAATTTGAATGTCATTTTAATGTTATTGTTGTGACCTGTTATTCTGCTTGGATATATATATTTAATATTTAATGTATTTCTAATTAATATTTCTAGCATAATTTTTCTATATTATTTGTGGTAATTTTATGTAATTAATACATTGATAATTGTTAATATTTATCAATATATGTATATTTGGCGCCAGAATAGAACGCACACACATACACACACACACACACACACACGCACACACACACACACATATATATATATATATTTCTTTTTTTCGCGCTCGCAGAATTTCCCATAAAGTCATCGATGAGGCTGGCTTTTTTTTCGATTTACGTCTCGTCGGTAATAATTCTGTCCTCCTATTTCGCCTCATTGATCAGTTATTTGGCACTCAATACAGCTAAACTGCCTTTTTCCACTTTGGAGGGATACGTTGAGGACGGCACTTACAAATTACTCGTTCTACAAAACAGCGCTGAATACGACATTCCTCTTGTAAGTCTATTCTTACTTACAGCTTAAAAATTACTTTGCTTAACAATGATATATTACCTAATTATAGAATTTTTTGTTAAAGCGCTCGCGAATAAAAACAATTTCGCGATTATAGCAAAAAAAAATTTTGAAATGCAACATAAATGAGTTTTAGTAATTCAGTAATTTTTTGTAAAAAATTTGATAATTTTACATATTAAAGAATTTAAGGGGGTATTCTTCTAAAAATATAAAGAATCGACCATGACCTTGAGAAAAAAATATTTGCTTCCTCCATTCTTAGTTTAGTATGACTTCGAACGTTGAGTAAGGTGAACGTTAGCACGCAATTGATCACTTATTTTAAATTGTGTAAAATAATTTTACTTGCTAAAATAGGTAAAAAAGGAACAAAAATAAAGCTTGTTCATACAGATCGTCAAAAGGAACGAAAATTTCGAAGTAGCAACACACCGCTGAAATGAGCACGAAATTTGTTAGCACATTGGCAAAAAATTTCGAAGTTTCTGAAGACATCGACTTTACTAGTTTGAAAGAATTCGGCTAATGCATTAAAATTTTTTTTGACAATTGTTTTTTTGACAAACCGTTTTTTTGACAATTACCTCGCATGTTATTTGTAAAAATTACAAATTGTAATATAAAGTTTTTTTAAACCACTAATCATAGTTTGGGTTTTAAAATTTCCATGCAGTGTAATATTGCAATGAAGTGTTAATCCCTTCATCTCCTCATATTAAAAGTGTATATAAAATTAACGTAAATTACATTGCATTGTATTCGTTGTATGTGGCTTTTGAGTTGGCAAAGAAAGTCTCTTTATTTTGCAGTTTAATGGACATTGGTCAAAAAAACAGCTTATAAAATATAAAGAATCGATCATAACCTTGAGAATTTATATTATAACTGCTTTGAAAATATATATGAAGCGACACCTGTAGTTTACGATAATATTTTAAAAAAAGCAAAAGAAAAATAATAAATGAAGAAACCGGAAATATTGCAATCAGCTTGACAGTTTTGGGCGACAGAATATAGAAAAAAGATAATTTTCTTCTTTATTTGGTGTCTCTACCTTTATAGAAAAATATTTATAGATTACTTTTATAGATTAATATTATATCGAAGAAAGTAGTCGATACTGTAAAAAGTAGCTTTTGTCGAGCATGTCATTGATGGAACAAGAAGAAAAACGAGAACATTGATGAATATAATGATTGATATATGAAATTCACGAAAAGAAAACTGCTCTATAACGGCAATGCGGGTGAAATAAAGATTGACTTATTACAGAGATGTTTTCGAGATCTGAGGAGAAATATAGAGTTCGATACGTCATGTATATTGGAGATGGAGAGATTTGATGCAATAAAACCGAAGTCACAAATACACTTAAAAGTTTTACTCATGACAAACCACCTCTTAATGGATAAGTGCTATAGATATTATTTATGAAGATTTATCAGATTCTTTAGTAGAAAGATGTTTACAGAAACGCAAAATAATAATGAATTTTAATTTATTAATTTGGACTTTTGCTCCAAAGCACATTTATTCAAGACCAAAAATTGTAGAAATCGCCGCTTTCTTAGCAGTAATAATATTTAATGAAGGCTTTTTGCCACTCTTAAAAATAATGAGTGTTATGGGAGCAACTATTGGCCAGAAAGCGGAGAAACGCAATATATTTTTATATTTTTTTAAATTTTGCAGTATACCAAAGATTCTTTATTATTGAAAATGTATGAAATATATGTCCTTGTGAAACATTATTTGTATCAGTCGTTCAGAGCTCGAGTGAGTTCGCTAAGCAAGCAAAAATCGATTGCCGAGAAGAAATAACTGTTTAGCGAGCTATGTTCGAGTAAGAGGAGAGTTCCCTCTATGGTTCTGGATTAGCTGATTAATAGTAATTAAAATTTTCTCTGTGTAAACTGCATGCAAAAACTTTAAAAGCGTTTTTCTCGAAATTGTATTTTTCGTATTTCCATGATATCTCAAGATCGACTCGTGTATACATCTTCAGCACATGTGTATCTACGTTTCTAATCACGATTACGTTAAAATATTGTTTTTTTTTGTTTTGATAATCTTTTAAAATGTAAAAAGTTAATGCAAAAATTTGTTAAAATGCAAAAATCGAAATTTAATTTCCAAAATGACATCATTTTTTTTAGTTTTTAATATTTTTCTTTCATTCTGACCTACTATAATCAAAAACATACTAATTAAGAATCTTTTTGAATTTTTTTGTTTCGATCAAGTAAAACCGGCCCAATCATAGAAGCTAAGCGTAAAGATTTTTTTTTATTGATTATTTCAAAGCGTTCACTGATGATAATTTTCATTTTCTTTTTTTTACACAAATGTTGTCTTTTTTCCTACATATTGTTTAAATTAATAAATGTATAGAAAGAACCAGATACTCAATTTTTATTGGTTCTTCATAAAAGATAAAAAAAAACGCAAAAATAACATCTGTTACAGTAGAATACCCTCTTAATTTTATTTGTAGAAAATATATTATTCTTAATTTTTTTATCCTCATAATGAATTACGGGCAAAAGTTTATAAAAGGCATTCTATCCCAATTATGTGTTATAATTGAAGGAAAAACGCAATGTATTATTATTCAAATTATAATTTTTTAAATTTTGCAGTATACCAAGGACCCCTTATTACTGAAAATGTACGAATTGCGGGAAGATAAGGAATATTTACCATTTAATTTGTTTGAGGGATTCAAGAAAGTTAGCAATGTCACCTCATTAATGACATTAACGGTGTTAAATTTTTAAGTTGATTTATGCCAATTTTTACATAGATTTGCGAGCGGATGGACTTGGCGTTTTATACGACGGAAGTATTCAAAAACTATTTGAGCATTTATATACAGTGTGAGCTGGTATATATTAATACCGGAAGAATCGATAATAATGCGATAACTTTAAAGAAAGGAAGTCCTTATACTGGCTTTATAAATTACCAGTAAGTCCTAAGTATATATATTTATTTACAGCTTTATTTTTTAAAAAATAAATATTTTAAATATCTTTTTAATTTTCAGTTTGAGGCGATTTCAACTTAACGGCGTTGTAAATAAGTTAAAAAACAAGAATCCCTCAACAATTTCAATGAAGAGCGTTGGTAATTTTACGGTTGATATAACCGATGTAACGCCAATTTTAACAATTGTAATAGGCAGTACGGTCCTGTCATTATTTATCTTGATAATCGAGAAAGTGTATTATTCATTTAAAACTCCAAACTTTAAGAATGATGAATCCATTACGAAATTCACCTACAATCTTAACGTGAGAAATAAATTGCGGAAGGAATACGAGAAGGACTAAGACTTTTATAACAAATTGATTGACTATTAGTCATAATACATATAAAAAATAGTTATAAATGCTGTAGGGATTTATTATCTGTAAAACAATACTTGCAATAATATCTGCGTTTATCAATTTATTTAACAAATTTAACAAAATATTTCAAGTTATATTTATATTTTGGAAAGAACAAAAATTTCCTACATAAATAATTTTAATTTACTATTATTTTACTTTTTCGCAAAATGTTGCTGCGGATTGCGTGCTTATATCTCGCTTATACAAATATAATTAATAACATAATAATTAGAACTGAATGAATAATATATTTATATTAGATTATTATTAAATATATATATAGAGTAAGAATTTTATAATAATGGATGTACTCGAAAGAGTAGAGAGACTATAAAAATATATTACATGGTTAAAAACTGGATTTTCCGTCTCTCGACGTATGCGAAAAATCGCCAAAGTTATTTGGATTGCATATTTAGCTGGAGGTTGTTGGAAATATTCTAAAAATGAGAATTGCTAATCCGTTTGATATGCACTAAATTCTCGCTTTTCACGATAATCAAAAAATATATATTTGATTTTAAAATACTCAATTATACTTGCCTTCTGTATCTATATTTGTAACCTCTCTTGGCTATACGTAATCTCCTGTAACAAAGACGATCTTTTATGGTTCTAATAAGACGAGCTTGCAATATTTAATCTGTCACTAAGCCCCTGCAGTAGAAGGAATAAAGAATTAAGAATAAAGAATAAATGATTTTAACCTATCAGAAATCGAATACATTAGAATACACGATTTCTGATAGGTTGAAATCATTATTCCTTATTGTGCGCAGCTCCTTATTTTTCTCTCATCCAATATGTTTTGCTGATAATTCTGAAGATTTTTTGGACGCATATTCCAACTCTTGTCTAATTTTATTTTTAAAATGTATTCTTTTAAGAATTTTAGCCATTTTTTATACCGGGCAATTAAATTCTCTTATCTATTATTTAATTTAATATCTAATATTTATTAATATTTTTACGACCGACTGCTGCCAACCGAAGGTTGACAAAAAACGAAAGAAGTATACGTTTCACCGAGTCGGATCGATGCAGTTATAATTTATCCATAACTAGGGTAACTGTCTTTATTAATGTGTCTTTTAGCCAACTTGCTTATTACTGAATTAATTATTAAACTGTAACTTTAATTTTATCTGCTTGCAATCAATATCGGTTTTTCAACTATTTCTTTTTCTTGTAATATTTCTTTAATCTAAAAAATGTTAATACTTTATAATATTTTTTTGACAAAAATAAAAAATATGTTTTTGTCCCTATTAGTAAATCCTCCAAGCGGCGATGGTTCTATTAATGTGCCCCCAATTTGTGTGCCTATCCATATTTGACTCATTTTAACATATAGTTACTAAAATAGATAATAAATTTAAGCTAATTAATATTACATAAACCATTATTTCAATGTACATTCATAACACAACGTTCAGCTCCAATACAGGGCACATTAAAAGGGTCAAGTTTAAAATCTTGCGGTATTTATTGCTGGATTTACATTTAAATTTTCCTTTTGAAAAATATTTAAAATACTTTAGTACTCAAAATATAAATCTTCGGTATTATGTGATGTATGTGTATGCATTAATAATTTAACACTTAACAAGAAAAAATATTTTTTCTTATTTATTCGTGTCAGTTTTCTTTACGACTTATCAAAATACAAAAGCGCACTAATAGAGATAGACACAGTAATTGGGACAGTTACCCTACAATTATCTTCTTATCAATTTTTGGCTACAGACTTTTTATTGACCAAGCTTGGTAATTTATAGCACATAATTATCATTAATTGTATTGTTAATAAATAAAAATAATTGCGTCAACATAAGTTTTTGATTGGTTAGAAATGAGTTCTCGTTGTATGCATGTTATTTGATTGGATGTTGATTAAATTCAGGAATTAAATCCATTAACCAATGAGATGTATTGTTAGTAGGGAATTTTAGTGACTCTCAGTAATTAGCACATATCATAAGCTGTGTTCAAACAGAGCTTTCAGCAAAGGCACAAATCGACACAAAAGCCATTCTGTCTTTGTTTCTTATTGATTATCGAACAAGAACAGAATGACTCTTGTGTCAATTTGTCTTGTGTCTCTTGCTGAAAAGCTCCCAGAAAAATATCAGCTCAGTGAGTATGTAGATACGACAGTTTCTTTTGACACTTCCTTAGTGTTCCAATAAAATTTTCAAATAAGTTTTGTTTCTTCTTGTTTTCTCATTCACCCAGAAAATTTTTTAATCTAATTTATCCAACTCATTTACACACGAACTTGAATAATACTTGATTTATGTAAATCTTCATTGATTTAATAAAAATATACATATATCTAAATAAAAATCTAGAAAAATATAATAAACGTTACGAAAACATTGCAAAGAATGAACAGATAGAATACATATGTTATATGTTAAAAAGAAATATGATATCGGCTTTCCGGAAAAAATGTTTCATATATAAATATATATAATTATTATGTAAAATTATATATAATTATATCAAAATTGACATATTTTACAATTATATATAATTATATATGAAATATAATGAAATAAGAGAAGAACTCAAGAGAAGAATTAATTTGGGGAATGCGTGCTTCTATTCGGTTAAGAAACTACTCGGTTCGCGGATATTGTCTAGGCGCTTAAAAATTAGAATTTACAGAACGATTATTTTACCGGTAGTCCTTTATGGCAGCGAAGCGTGGTCACTTACGTTACAAGACGAGAAAAGATTTAGGGCTTTCGAAAATAAAGTACTTCGAAAAATCATCGGGGCAAAACGCGATGAGGAAACGGGCGAATGGAGAAAATTACACAACGCAGAATTACATCAATTATATAATAGTCCGGATATTATTAATGTCATAAAATCGCGTCGATTAAGATGGGCAGGTCACGCGGCGCGTATGGATGAGAATCGAATTGCATATAAAGTATTAATTGGTAAACCGGATGGGAAAAGACCATTGGGTAGACCAAGACGTAGATGGGAGGATAATATTAGAATGGACCTTAACGAAATGGGGTACGAGGGTCACAAATGGAGGGATCTTGCTCAGGGACGGGAACAGTGGCGAGGTTTGGTATTTGCGGCAATGAGCTTTCGAGTTCCTAACGCCTAATAATAATAATAATAATATATGAAATATGTCTATATATAAAAATTTTTTTCGAGTTTTTATTCCGCGACATTTTCTATTGATTGTCTAATATTAAAATTATATTCTTTCATAATTTTTATGCATAAGGTTGAGATATATTTCAATTACTAAAGAACAAAATTGTAACCTTTTTAATATACATAAATTTATTGTGTGCAAAATTTGTTTATGACAATTATTATTTTCTTACAACTATTCTGTTATTTCTAAAAATCTTTTTTAAAGCTATCAATACTATTTTTGTTACATATAACATTTTTGTTATATAATAATATTTATATAATAATATTTACATAATTATAAATAAAATTTTTAATTATTAATATTTATGAATTGCCATTACTCACAATTGTAATAATTTATATCTACATAAAAATTATTGTTTCATCTATTATATTTAATTCGCTTTAATATAATAAAAATGTAATAAAAATTGAATATCCACACTATCAACATTACCGGCAAGCGGAAGTTCGTCCGCAGCTTGCAGTTTCTTGCAGTAGTCGATTCTATACGCACTCAGGTAGCATAGCTTCGCCGACGGGCGCAACGGATGCGAGTGAGCACGCGCTTACATTTCCGCTTTCTGTTTGACCGGAAGTGACCTTTGCCTCATTAGAAAAAACCTGCACGCACGCATCAATCCCAAGAGCTATCCCATATATGTATTGCTTCGGTATACATACATGTACAATCTGAATCGTCTTTACCGTTGCATCGAAGTTAGCAACAACGACGTTGATTATCGATTACGGAAATGAACGTGTCTTCATGAGTATCAATCAGTGATAAATTAATCGCAAATAGCACGCGATGGCTATAGCGTGACTACAGCAAAATAGCTTCTTCTATTACGGACCCCGTTAAGTTGTAATTATGTGGCAAAGTAAGCCATTTGTACCTTCTTTTAATGTCGAAATACAGAGCAAAGTTCCATACCAATGCCTGTTTTTACCAATAGTAGTTTAATTTTAATCTCAGTTCTACTCTTCATCTTGTTCTAGTTATAAGAATTAAAAAAGATGAAGAGTAAATTGAACCGAGATTAAAATTAGCTACATTGGTAAAAACGACAAAGAAAGTACATTCTGAAAATATTGGTAATTTTAACAATTTTTCGACACTACTTTACTAATATTCTAGTTACTCATAAACTTCGCTAATTTGCTTTCTGCCCCATCCAAATATTTCCAATCCACTCTTTTTATTCATCAATTAAATTTCTAAATCGTCTTTTAGAGCAGAAAAAATGTAGAAGATCAACTTTGCCAATTGTTTGCTACATTTTTACTTTGATAAAAAAAAAAGAAGGATTTGACGCGACTGCACTACGAGACGATTTGATGATGCACCTTCGGTCGAACGGCCTCGAAATACATTCCAAAGACACGATTGTCTATTATTGTTTGCGAGGATCGACGTCTGCCGTTCCAGAAAGAAAACAAGATTCTCTGACTGGCCTCTTGTCGTCGCAAGTGGTAACCATTGTTGACGCGTTGTGTCATCTCTAGACTTGTCCAGAACGCCATCGTTAATAATAAAAGAAGGAAAGAGAGAAAGAATATTTCTGCAATTATAACAATAATAATAACTGCGAAGAAACAATAATGTTTGGTAACAACGATTGTTATGGAGGTAACAATAATGATGATGATAATGATGATGACAACGGGTGGAGTCTCGTCCAAGAAATGAAAATGTCGTAAAATCGCACAATGACGTTTTTGAATTTCAATATCGTTTATTGTAAATGACTTTTTTACGTTACATA